AATTAAAATTATTTACATATTAAAAGTATTAAAATAAATATTAATTTTTATAATTTTTTATTTAAATTAATTTTTTTTTAATTTGTACCCTTAAGATAAAGGTTAAGACTACCTTTTTACATTAAATTTGCATGGAAAAATGTAAATGTAGATAATAATTTGGTATAACTCCCAAATCCACCCCTATTTAGGGTAGGAACAAATTCACATTTTTAAAAAAAATGAGGGTGAGATATTCCTCCAAATTATAAATAAAAACAAACATTTATTTTTTAACATATGATGTTAGTTTTTCGTTAAAAAATACTTACGTGACAAACAAAATTTTGACGTCACATGTTAAAAAATGTGTAATTTATCTTAATTTATAATTTAAAGGATCAACTTATTTCCACATTTTTTTAAAAAAATAGATATGTTCTTATCCTTATTTGAGAGATGGATTTGGGGTTTTGCCTAATAATTTTAGTATTATTGTCACGTAAATAAATTTAATTAAATAATTAATAAATTAAATATTATTTTTTATTCTTTTAAAATTCTTAACTTACACTATAAGATATGAATTTAAAAATATTAAATTAATTTTAAAAAATATATTTATTACACCTTTAACATTCATTTTAGAAAATTCCCAGGTCGTGCTTCCACCAACCATCATCTAAAGATATTGCTATCATTTTCATGTAGTTTGAAACCGAAAACTACTGATGTAAAATAACGAACGGGATTTTAGCCGGGTGGTATTTGTATAGGTTGGGGGTGTAATATTTATTTTTAAAAAAATTAAGAATGTAATAAATATATATTTTTATAATTAATTTATATAAAAATGATAAATATTAATTTTAAATTAATTAATTAATTAAAATTATTTACATATTAATAATATTAAAATAAATATTAATTTTTATATTTTTTATTTAAAATAAGAATTTTTTTAATTTGTACCCTTAGATTAGAGGTTAATAATATTTTTTTATATTAAATTTATATAAAAAATATAAAAGTAAATAATAATTTGGCATAACCTTCGAATCCACTCCTATTTGAGGTAAGGACAAATTCATCATTTAAAAAAATACAAGGATAAGCTTCCATCAAAATTATAAATTAAAATAAATTATTTATTGTTTAACGTGTGACGTTAATTTTTTATTAGAAAATGCTTAC